ATCTTTCTTTTTCACTAAGTTCTTTCCACATGAAAACTCCTTGGAAATTTTGAAGTGATTTGTTGATAATTCTTTTAAGAGAAAGATGTCTTTGGAATCACTCAAAAATACCAAAAGGTGAGCAAGATATGCTCCTTTGAAGTTCAAAACCCTAGCCTCTAGATCAAGAGAATGCTTTGAGGAACTTTGACAAGTTTGAACAAACTTCTTGTGCCAACATTCTTTCTTTGTGAATAGAAGTTGTTGAGGATGATGATGAGGACTCATAGCCACTAAAACCACTTCCATATCTTGAAATTTGAGAGAAATGTGCTCTTGTGACTAATAGGAACAAGACCTTGTCCAATCATGACAACTTCTTCCCTCAATCCCTTTGTACTTTTGAATCAATTTTGATAACTTTGAAATATGTTGAACCAAAATAAGCCTTGTCATGCCATTTCTTACAAAACAACTTCAATGGTGAGGTTTGAACTCCTCAAGCTATGTTGACTAGGGCATGGAAATAAACTCATGAATCCATGGAGCAACTTGCTAAACCTCATAGACTTTACCTACATTATTAACAAGTAAGGCAAACCCATATTGCATTTTATTAATAAAAGAAAAATCTAAGCAAAATATTCATGATCACAAAAGAAAACAAGTCAAGGTGCTTGGTAATTCCTCCAAAAGAGCAAAGCTAAATGATAGGGAGAAGAACCAAAAGTCCTAATTTGATCTTGTTGTAATTAAATCAACATGGTATGATGAAGGGATCTTAGGGGCAAAATTTGGGGTACAACACCCCCATCTCATTCAACTTCTGCCCGAGCTAGTTGTGACAGTCCATTCTGATTCGGTAAGATCAGTGGCGTCATCTGTGGGAAACTTGCTTCTCCGTCTTCCATTTTCTCGAGACTAAAGCTAAACAATCCCCGACTGTCATGGCTGACCAGATTACAAAAAAAATGAACGTCCGCATCATCGACGTCAACAACAACATCGCCGACAATAATGTCGGCCTCGACAACGGCAGTACCGCCGGCCACAACACAGCCCCCGCCATTAATATGTCAGGGCCTTCTGACTATAGAGACGGAGCAACTGCTTCGTCATCATCACTGCCTCCACGACTCGAAGACGATCGACCACCTCCCTAGAACTACCAACCCATTCAGTTCCATGAGGTCCCTGTTTCCGTCAGAGCAGATGCCACGACCAGGGCACTGTTTGTAGCGATAAATCAGACCAACTACCTGATCTTCGCTCAAGGAGAAAGATTGAGGGCGCTCGAAGATGCTCGGAGAGCCCCCAGAAGACACAGGAGACCTCAGTCTGCTCCTCCTCGGCAAGCAGAGGAACGTACCCAATCTCCCCCGCGGAGACGTAGTCGGGACATCTCTCGAAGCCCTTCTCCCCGACCAATTGGGCGACGCCCCGCATTAGAAAGGGACCAGCCCGTTGACACGGGGAGATGCGATCACGACCCCTCGCGTCAAGAATGAAGACCCCCTGGAGATAGAAATGGGGGAAACAACGAGCGACCATACCGCCTGAGGAACGCTCCGCGCGACCAGGGCCACCATACTCGCCACTACGTCAGATCCCCGTCTCGCTCGTCCGAACAAAGTGACGAGGTCGACCCCCGCGGTCCCTTGTCACAAGCCATCATGGAGGCACATATTCCCCCAGGCATGGAGAAGCCTCCCCACCTAAAGGAATACGATGGCATAGCCGACTCGGTCGACCATATAGACGGGTTTGAGGCCATGCTACATTATCCCAATGTCGGGGGACCAATCAAATGTCGGTTGTTCCCCACGACTTTGAGGAAAGTTGTGATGGACTGGTACAAAAGTCTCGCCCCGGGATCAATTATCTCTTGGCGAAATCTGAAGAACCAATTCATCAGTTCATTCACTGCTTCGCGATGCCACCCAAAGACCGAAGCAGCCCTCGAGGCCATTATCCAGAGACACGATGAGACCCTGAGGGAATTTATTGATCGGTTCAACCGGGAGGCCATCCAGGTCCCGTGTACCGATCACATGAAGAGATACCTGCTCGAGAGGGAACTCCTCCCGGGCACAAAATTCAGAAAGAACGTAGGCATCGAACCGCCTCGGATATTCGATGCTCTCCTCGAGAAAGCCAGAGCCTACATGGACTACGAGGTGAGGGAAGCGACCAACAGAGCCCGGGATCCCAGGAATCGCGGGTCTACCAGTCAGCCGCGACAAGACACCGCCCCTTCTCGACGAACTGGCGAGAAGAGAAGGGACGACAAACCCCGAGACCCTCGAGAACAAAGAGGATCCTCGGGGAGGTTTACTGAGTACACTCCGCTAACGGCTTCCCGCGAGCGCATCTTAGTAGAGTGCGCGAATACAGATTTCAAGGACGGCGGCGTCAAGCGTCCTTGCCCCGCTCTTGCTAAGCCTGAGGCAGATCGAAGCAAATATTACCAGTATCACCGGAGTCATGGGCAGTTGACTGAAGATTGTGTCCATCTCAAGGATGTTATCGAGAGCCTCATAAAAGGGGGGAGACTCGGGCAATATCGACGCGACGACGCTCCCCGTCGAGATGCCCGTGAAACAAGGGAGATAGAGGAGGATGCCCGACCATCTGATGAGTCGGTCCCCATCCAGACCGCATTCTCCGTTACGAGACCGGAGGACTTTTACGTCTTCGAACATATGCAATAGCCTCTGTCTACGCACAGCAAGTGGGAAAACTTCCCCTCCGCCATGGTCATAAATGGTGGGGGTTTAATGACTTGACTATAAATTCAGCAAAGAGGAAGCTGGATGAGCTGGTCGACGCGGCTCCCCCGCAAACGGTGACCTTCGAGAGGGTTAAAGGAAGATCAGAGCCGATCACCTTTTACCTCGAGGAACTGCCCAGAGGGGCCCCCAATTCAGTCATCCCTCTTCTGATCAGGGCGAGAATGGCCAATTTCGACGTACATCGCGTCCTGGTCGACGAGGGAAGTTCCGTCGATGTGATGTACAACCAACTTTTCAGAACCCTACAGCTCGACGACTCTCACCTTTCACCATACGTGGGATCAGACTTGCAGGGCTTTAATGGCTCGACCTCCAAGCCATGGGAGTACGTGGAACTTATGGTCACCTTCGGCGAAGATACTACTACCCGACAAGTCAAGGTGCATTTCCTCGTCATTGACTGCCCGTCCCTCTACAACTGCATCCTTGGGAGACCGACACTAGCAGAGCTGACCGCGGTGCCCTCCACCGTCCATCTGAAGATGAACTTCTACACAAAGAGGGCACGGGTCGCCACCATTCAAGGTGACCTAGCAGCCGCCCGAAGATGCTTCAACGCGGCGGCCAAGAGACAAAGCACAGTCAACACCGGAGCATGACCCGCCAAAAAAGCTACAACAGTGCGACCAGAGCCTCAGCAGTCAGAACCAGAACCCATCAGAGCGGAGGTACAGAGGGCTCCTCCAAAGGTCGATTCGGTCTCGCTGGACACTTGCTTCGACCAAGACGAACCCTCGAACGACGAGCAGGAGCTCCTCCGTCCAATTTCAGATGGGGACTTCGAGCTTGTCCCTCTTGGTGAAAACTCGAGCAGAGGGGTGAAGATTGGCACATGACTCCCTGGCCTAGAAAGGAAGCAGATCAAGCCCTGCTTGAGGGAGAACGTTGATCTGTTCGCGTGGAGCGCCACAGAGATGTACGGTCTCGACCCCGAGGTCGCCTGTCATCAACTCACCATCGATCCAACTGCTAGGGCAGTAGTACAACGTAGGCGTAGGCAGTCCCCCGAGAAAACAGAGGCTGCTGAAAAATCGGTAAAAGACCTCCTAGAGGCAAATTTTATTTCAGAGGCCCGATATTCAACCTGGCTGTCTAATATTGTACTTGTTAAGAAAAATAATGGAAAATGGCGTATGTGTGTTGACTATACCGATCTTAACCGGGCATGCCCCAAAGATGTATTCCCTTTGCCTAATATTGACATGCTGGTCGACAACTCGACCGACTATAAAATTTTATCTTTCATGGATGCCTATTCGGGCTATAACCAAATCCCAATGGCAATGAGCGACAAACACTACACTGCTTTCATGACCAACTCGGGCAACTATTACTACAACGTAATGCCCTTCGGTCTGAAAAATGCAGGAACAACATGTCAGCGGATGATGAACAAAGTCTTCCGCAACGAGATCAGAGATATGCTCGAGGTATACATGGACAACATGATAGTCAAATCCCGAGTAGACACCGACCATGCCGCTCATCTCAGGAAAGTCTTCGCCCAAGCAAGACAATGTAGAATGAGGTTCAACCCCGAGAAGTGCACCTTCGAAGTTAAGACTGACAAGTTCCTCGACTTCTATCTAACAGAACGAGGAATCGAAGCCAACCCCGACAAATGTCGCGCGTTCTCTGACCTCCCTACACCCACTTCGAAAAAATTCATACAAGTCCTGAATGGTATGCTCGCCTCACTCTCCCGTTTCGTCGCAAAATCTGCTCAACACGCCCTGCCCTTTTTCAAACTCCTGCGTAAGGAAGTAGCTTTCAAGTGGACCAAGGAATGCGAATGAACCCTTCTCCATCTCAAACAGAGCCTTTCACAGCCGCCCGTGCTATCACGATCGATTGACGGAGAGACATTATTCCTATATCTGACCGTCTCCGTCGAAGCCGTCAGTGCGGCCCTCATTCGCGAAACTCATGAAGGCCAAAAACCTGTGTATTTCACGAGCAAAACGCTTCAAGGGCCCGAGGTCAGATACCAACAGATCGAGAAGACTCATACACTATTTCTTCGCGCACACAATCGTCATACGAACAGACCAGCCAGTAAGATCAATGGTGCCGTATGTAGAAAAATTGAATAGTTATTATCAAAACAATAAATCATATATATTTACATTCAAATTACACAAATTACCATTGCTAACAAAATTATACAACCAAATGCGAGTACACATTCTAGTTTCAATACTATCCGGCAACATTCGATCCTTATACTTGTTAAAGACGCGTGAGCCTGGTATTGGGAACACTTAACAAGTCACATGCTAGTGTTGATAGATCTGGAAATCGACCACTATTATTTTTCCACCATTGTAATACATCCATATCTTGGTAACAACAAAAACCCAACTCTGACTCATCTAAGTAAATATCGAGTTGAGACTTTCCAGTTTTAGTAGCAAGCTGCTGACGATGCATTTTCAATTCCTATTATATTTCACAAATGTAAAGGAGAGCAATGAGGTTAAAGAAATTCAAAATAGAATGCAAGTAAATTGTAAATATATATAACACTCACATACACACTTACATCAAAGAGGCCGAGAGATGAAGACTTGAGTTTCTTTTGCAATGGCATACAAGATTGATTCTGAATAGTTTTTTGCAAGCCAGAAGAAGCATTTTTTCCAGAATACTTGTCAAATAGCATATGCAACTTACTTTTTACAAGTTGCGGCTTCCTTTCACAGGTTGATGCATCAAGTTTTGAGTAACAATAAGCCAATGTCGAAAACTTCATTCTTGGGTCAAGAACAGCTCCCATTGCAAGAACAACACTATACCCATCCCAATATTTCTCAAACTCGCTCATCATCCTTTTAGCCATTCTCTTTATGTCTTCGTCTTCATCTTGCAAACAACCAACTAGAACACATTGGACTTTCCAAACTTGCAAAAAATACAAGTACTGGTAGCCAATTCGTGTTTAAGCTTGAGTTTCTCTTTCATGTACAATTCCGAGACATAAGCCTCAATAACATTTCTAGGAGGCATAAGAATATTTGGATTCAAATACTGGTAGAGATTCTTAAGTGCTTCTAACTCAAAATGATGAAACGGAAAATCACGTGCAAGGATGACAGAAGCACATAAATGCACTAACAGTGGTTCCATTTGATTTTCATCAACTACCTCACCAACAGATTCCATATTTTCTTTGTGACATTTCTTCAAACACCTGTATAACATTTCAGCATTGTAAATTATTATTAGGTTTTTAAAATCACAAGCTATATCATTGAAAGCTAACAAACTTCAATAGAGAAAGAGTTACAAGTTACAACAAAAACAACAACTGTGCGTGAGTCGCCGGAGAATCGGAGAGGAGAGTTACCGTCGGGAAACGAGATGGCGGAGACGCGAACGAAGCGATGGATGAAATGAAGAAGAGAAAGTGAGAAAACAAGTTCCCGGGATTACCATTTATATTGCCTTCTGAAATGGACAAATTGGTCTGAATTCCAAAACCCTAAAACGGGCACCCACTTCGGGTTAAACGGGTTAACCGTTTGATTTTTAACCCATTTTCACACAATTTGATGTTTAGTCTTTTTTTTTAATTAATAAAGTTTATTTTATTTTGTTAAAAAGAGCATAAATATAAATTTTACATACAATCAATCATAATTTTTTCCCTTTATTTTTATTGTGACAACCACCCATGATTCCAATTAAAATATAAATAAATTTAAAATTTTCTTTTTTTATTGGTTGTTTCTAAATGAGTTAATAGTCAGTTCGGCCCCTGTCATTTGGACGAGTTTTGAAAAACTTCTATATAAGAAAAAATTTAGATCCCCACTCTGTCATTTTGAGATTTTACTATTTTCATCCTTCATTAAACCAGGTCACCCAAATGACTTATGTGAATTTGCTGAGATGACTTTTATTTAAATTAAATTTATTTTTCAATTCTACATGTTATTTATTTATATATATTATAATATTTTTTTCATTTAAATTAACATAAACCCTAATTTTACTTCTTCTCGTCTTGTCCTTCTTCTTCCTTTTTCATGCTACATCTACCACTTTCCTTGTCACTTCCACTGCATTTCTCTGAGTAATGGTTGGGAGTTCGAAGAACAACATGTCATCAAATGCCATAATATCTCCTAAATATGGACACGAAATGTCAATGAAGGTTTTCGTTTCCAAGTCTACTGTAAATCCAGAGAAAAAATACTGGAAGTGCAAATATTGGAGGAAAGAAGAAGAATGTCAAAAATTTTATTAGGATGATGAATACTTTGGCTCAATTGATAAGAAACGAATTGTAGAAGTCGATGATGGATGCAGTCGTTGTGATGTAATGATTGAGCATTTGAGACAATTTGGGAGAGACTTCGGGAAGGAATTTGGAAGAGAGTTTGGGTCCAAAATTCGTTCGAATGAGGTGGAAGATTTGAAGAACAAGCTGGGGAGCACAAGGAAGAAATAGTTTTTGTAGTTGTACTTGTATGTTCCTGGGTTTACTTTGGCATAATATTAGCATAATATTATATGTTCCTGGGTTTACTTTGGCATGATGTTAGTGTAATCTTATGTGTTGTTGTTGTATTATAACAATCATTTGTGAACAAAAAATTTGACTTGAAATGAATTAGTGGTTGATCCAAAATTTGAGTGATGAATGTTTGTTATGCATTAGTTTTGTTAACAATTTGAATGGCCTTGATTTAATTTGTATCAAATAAAGGCATACCATAACAATGTAACATGACAAAATTTGGTCCAAATAAATGCATAATGACATAGGTTTACATCAAAATAGATGACAGTAGTTTTTACAAAATACATTAGGTCTCATTGATAAATAAGGGCATAATGCCATAATAGTTGTTACAAAAAACATGGTTTGCCAAAATGAAATTACAACTAGCATAATGACATTACAAGTAGCATAATACATTTGTCCAAAATGACATCATAAGATAACAGTCAACATTACATATAAGTGTCTTCCAAAATAACAAAAAACTATCACATGTACTTGAAATATACGACATTACTTAGACAAATTCTTAAAAATTTCTTCCTATGATTTCATATTAAGCACACAAGTTCCTAACTTAGGGACAATATTTTCCAATTATTCAGAGTCATCAATTTCCAATGGTGCTTCAGATGTTGAACCTGCTCCACCTATTTTTTGTTTCCTGAAGATTGACTTCAGCCTGTCACTACTCCTGGCAGGTTTTGATGCTGGTGATTTCTTCTTCTTGCCAACCCGATATCTCTTTCTAGCATGCATATTCTTTGGTGATGGGTGAGCATCCTCATTATCTACAAGCTGAGTCACTCAAGTAACTTGTGATGGCTGAGCACCCTCATTATCTGCAGGCTGAGTCACTTGAGTAACTTGTGATGGCTGAGCATCTTTATTATCTGTAGGCTGAGTTACTTGAGTAACTTGTGATGGTTGAGCATCTTCATCATAAGTGGAAACCCATTCATCAATTATAGCATCTAGTTCTGGATCATGGAAAAGATCTTCAACTGCAACTGTCTCATTCTCAACTGCAACCGTCTCTTCCTCAATTGCAGGTTTCTCAGGTCTTGATGTTTTACCCTTGGTTCTGGGTGTTTTTCTCCGCATACATAAATGATAATCAAAATACAGAAGTTATATATCAACAATAAATCAACAATGAAAAACATGACTTTTACCTTTCTCTTCAATGCATTGCTGTCATGTTTTGTGCTTTGTCATTTCGTTGAATTATGCCTAATTTTATCACATTTTGTGCACCTATATGACACACCGTGCCTTCTCATCCTTGAGACATTTTCATCATGCTCTCTCCACCTTAATTTTGTTGGTCTTCCATGCCGCTTCTTATACATTGGGGGCAACATCTCTTCAAATTCCTCACGTGGCCACATGTTCATCCCATTGATTGGACTGACACCATTTTCATAACATAATTTATATGCATCCCTTTTGTAACAGTCATCTACATATAATTCAAGATCTAAATCTTGATATTGCATGGCTGCCACAACATGACAGTAGGATATGCCAACTAGCTCCCAAAAGCAATGAGAGCAGGTTTTTTTTCTCTATTTCAACAATAAATTGCAGCCCATTAAATGTATGATGGACTTGCCACATCTGACCCATACTCCATGTTGGCAGCCACTGACCACTCAACATCAATTATCAAGTCTCTTCCTAGGTATTGGCATTACACAATGTTTCAATTTATCTAACTTAACTAAATTTGTTGCAACCCTATTCATTAGGTAGTTCTTTATCCACTCACACATTGTGAGAATAGGCTTATCACTAGCTTGTAAAATAGTGCTATTAAGGGACTCACTAATGTTGTTCGTTAATACATCACACTTTGGATAAAAGCTAAAAGAATACTTACACCATAGTTCTGTAGGGACTCTCATCAGCCATTTCCATGCCTTTTTGTCCGATACCTTTAGCTCAAACATCTTCTTTTCACATGCTTTGTAGTATGTTGCTTTTGCTGCTCCTATTAGTAGGTCTTTTATTGCAACTCCACCTCCAAATTTTTTCTATGCACGATTAGTGTAAGACTTTTTACACAAACATCATCACAATAACCCATAAATATTATTTTATAAATAACTAAAATAAAAATTAAATTTTTAATACAAATTTAATGGTTCTCGTTATTTAACCATATAAAATTTCTTTAATAGGTTTGTAAGTGTTTAGTTATTGGCATGTATTTTTGGTAAAACCAGGTGTGTAAATGTCATGACTGATGTCATAACATTCTGGATTATTAGGTACTTTATGCAGAAAAAGTATGGCATACAGTAGCTACTGTTTATGAGTGTGTATCTGAGCATTTTGCAATGATCACATTTATTGCCTTCTACCAAAATCAATAAACAGGAATTCTGATGTCATAACAAATGTTAAGACATCATGTACTGATCTAACAGATATGCAGTTTGGTTAATTCTGAGATTTTTCAGGAAGATGGCTCATTCCTTCCAGAACAGAATCTCACGTGGACTTTGGGTTAACCTAGCTCAACCCTAATCTAGTTGATAAAGTCTTGTGACCAAGTCTTAAGGTTAAACCTAATTAACCCTAGCTTTTTGTGGAAACCCTAACTGAAGAAACAACTACATATATATTCAACAGGAATGCTGGTTGCAGGGTAACTTTTTGACTGAAGATCAATTAGGAGCTGTATAGTTTTAACTTCTGTAATCCAAGCAAGTATCATTGTGATAAGTGACTTGGAATAGGTTTTGATTGTAAGGGTTTTTGTATCACTCAAAGCTTTGAAGCAAGAGTGTTTTGTGCCTCTTGACTAAAGCTTTGAAGCAAAGTCAAGTTAGGTTTATGTATCACTCAAAGCTGTGAAGCACGAGTGTTTGTGTTACTTGATTAAAAAGATGTGAAGCATAATCAAGTGTATGTTCTGAAGAGTGTCTTCATTATTTCATTAGTAAATTGTTTTAAGTATCACTGCTGTGATTGATGGGGAGTGAGTAGGAACTCAGGTTTAAGTTGAACTTAGATTGAATTTGCATTGGGTAGGTCTTAAGTGAAGGAGATAAACTGGTTGGTTTGTTCCTGAATTAATATCTCTTATAGTGGATTTCCTCCCTGGCTTGGTAGCCCCCAGAGTAGGTGTTGTTTCACACTGAACTGGGTAAACAATTGACTGTGTTCTTTCCTGTTTTTATTTACTGTCTTATAGAAAGTCAGATACGGTGTTATAACATTCACTGTGACATTGAGTATCTGCTGCCAGAATTTCAATTGGCATCAAAGCAGGAACCCTGCCAGTATTACTGGGTGAGATCTAGGGATATCACTTTCTGGCACTATGGACAAAGAAGGAGTTTTTGGAAATAGACCACCCATTATGGATGGAAAAAATTATGACTACTGGAAACCTCGTATGATTGCCTTCTTAAAATCACTGGACAAAAAGGCTTGGAGAGCTGTTGACAAAGGATGGAACCATCCCACCATAACTGAGAAAGATGGGACAATCAGTCTGAAGCCTGAGGAAGAATGGAGCAAAGAAGAAGATGAGTTAGCCCTGGGTAATTCCAAAGCTTTAAATGCCTTGTTCAATGGAATTGATAGAAACATATTCAGGCTAGTACATCAATGTGAACTGGCCAAGGAAGTGTGGGACACTCTCAAAACTACCCATGAGGGCACATCTAAAGTAAAAATGTCAAGGCTTCAGATGCTGACTACCAAGTTTGAGAACCTAAGGATGAAGGAAGATGAAACCATTCATGAGTTTCACATGAACATCTTGGAGATTGCCAACACCTCAGGAGCATTGGGAGAAAAGATGTCTGAAGAAAAACTGGTGAGAAAGATTCTCAGATCCCTGCCTAAAAGATTTGTAATGAAGGTAACTGCTATAGAGGAAGCCCAGGATATCAGCAAGTTAAAGGTGGATGAA